ACCTTAGTGGTTTAAAGGGTTTCTTCTAACATACATTTTGCTCTAAAAGTGTAGTTTGAACAAAACAGCTTACCTCTTTGTGCAAAAGAAATACTTCTTCATTCAAGTATAATGCTTGAATAGGCAATCAGACAAATGGAACTTTAATTCACAGTAAAGAAGTACTTTATTATTATTATTATTATTGAAGCACAGTTTTTCTATTGAATAAATGCTCTGTTTCATTTAGACACTTCTCTAATTAAATGCACATTGTGTAAGATTGGGTAATGAAATGGTTGAACCCGTTGTAGATGAAAGACACTTAGTCTATACAACAACTAATTTATAATTACATGGTAGCTGATGGAATGATCTAAAAATGTCTGCAAATTTAAATGCCTGATGTGAGCTTTGAAAATAAAATCCCCTGATGCAAAAATGTTTCTCTTCAAATGTAATTGTTGAATATAGACACCACAGGGTTCTTAGTAGCTCGTATATCATTACATTGAAATTCATTTGATACATAGAGAGCATGTAAAATGTATTTTGTGACCACAACCATAAAACTGAATAGAGCCTGCCTGTGTTATTTGCTCTGCATGTACAGTGATCATCAATGAGGCAGAATCTTTGATTACAGTCTTCAAAGACTTTTTCCAAATCAGACGCAGAGTTTGCTCCATGTGGTGCTTCAGCCTGTTGTGATTTATTTCCTTTGGAGTTTTTAATGTTGCTCAGCATGGCTCTATGGAAAGGCCAACCTGCAGTCCTCTACCACCAGCAGCACAGACCACCCCTGCTCTGCTGCTCAGCGGGGCCCTAACCCTGTCATCTGGGCTGGCTCAAAAAGAGTGTTTACCCACTTCCAAGATTGCACCACAGTCATTCACCTGCACTACCATGTCCACCATTCTTTTTAGAACTTTGCTGTTTGCCTGTGTGCAAAACCTCCTGAATGTTTCAGCATATATGCTGCTTTTTATTGCTGCTGTCTGCATTGAATTATTCTCTGTGAAACAGGAGGCATGCCCATAGCACATTAGTTGTTGTTAGCTCTACCATGACAGTAAACCAAAAGCTGTGAACAGCACATGAACGTATGGCTGTGAATGATTAGTATGCAAGGAATGCATTAGGTAAGTGAACTGTTTAAAATGAACTAGTTCTGTTTAAAAACTCTGTTTTGTCTAAGTCTTAGTGCTTTCATATTTTCTACCTTGCTTGATTTTGGTAGAGTTCCATTTATAGAATTGTCTTTATTATTTAGAGATGTCAAATGATCTCGCCGATCTATTTTTACTAATGCAAAGTATAGCTGGAGGTGTTCTTTGCACACCGGAACCACAATCACAAAATGAGCCAAAGCAGTATGGTCAGGTGCACAGGGGCACAGATGAGGCGGATCAGATGGCACAAACACAACTAGATTATGTTGCTGGGTACCCTTGGCATAACCGGAGGCATTATGTGACCTTGCACTTGCCCCAGAGGAAATCTCTTTTAAAGCTGTTTGGACCATGTCTAGATTAAGCTGGGGGGGGGGTCTAGATGGCACTGACACCTTTATATTAGGATGGTGCATTTTGCCGATGGTGGTTGTAAGTTAGGTTACTCCTGAAGGCAAAAACAAGAACAGGCACCCAAATATGGAGTGGCCATTCAAATTAATAAACACATCTGTAGTACAGAATCATTTTATCAATACATTCACATAATAGTGTAAAACCAGAGCGGGACTATGTTACGTGATCACACATCATGCTTTGTAAAGCTTTGCACACTGCATATTGGGGCTAACATTAATTAAATTTATTTTTTCCACAAACACAGTAGATTTGGATTGAAATACAGGGTGTGGGTTAAGGTCACAGGCACAGTTTAATTACATTAAGAGACAGCTAAATTAGACTGGGCAAACAGACAGGGCTTAAGAGATTACTGGCCCTCTGACAGAGAGATCAAATTTTACCTTTGAGCAGCACATGGTAATATGCACTGCTCCTGGTGAGCAGCAGGGAGACTCACAAATGGAGAAGGGTGGTAAATGGGCTCATGATTAATTATAATCCAAAATCCCACTTCAGAAAAGTTCTGGTGCCATGCAAAATGTGAACATGAACTATGTTATCATCTGCAGTTTGAAAAAAACAAAAACAAAACATATTTACACTTTGCATAGTTAACCTCCACATACTTGACAAAAACAGCTAAACACAGAGAAAACAGGGACAACAATTGTAGCTCCTGACAGTAAGGTGAACCTCCATTCTGCAAAGTGCTCTGTGCACACCATCTATCTCCATCACTGTTAGCACTTCAGGCCTCAGCTCCTGTCTAAAAGCATCTGCTGTTTCTCCCATCGTCCTCTAAGAGCGACCAGTGAGAGATGATCTTCTCAGTTTAACTCCAGTTGTTTTTGGACCTATGGTGTGAGCAATCTTCACCATAGGAAATGCAGTAGATATAAGCCGAATATAGAGTGGAGAAGGGAAGGGGAGGCAGATATAACCTGACATGTATTATAAGGCCACTTTATTAGAGCTTTTGCTATGGACTGACCCTTTTGGGCTTAAGGCGAGGTACTGCAAGCTCATTGTGCCGCACGGTCAGTCACTGTGTGGAGATCAAAGAACGAACAAAGTCATTGACTATACTTATTCGCATACTTCTATGCAGGGGAGCAAGAGATAATTCTTACAAGACAAAATTACATATAAGATGAGGCCCACAAGAACGAGATGAAATTTGGACAAAATTTACAATACACAATTTTGGTCTCATATATTTTCATTTTAATGCTTGTATTAACTGAAATGTTGCTGTAGAGAAAAAGATATGGAAAATTCTGTAATGTGAGTATGCAGATGGTGAGTATCTCCCACAGCCATCAACAGTTGAATTGGCCAACCACTTTGGCTCATATACATGCAGGGAAGGAGAGCTACAACAGCCATTTATTCTGGTGTCCAAATCACAGGAGGTGTTTTTGAAGTTGTTGGGAATAGAACATTAAAAAAAAAAACATCACATCATGGTTATTAAATTAAATCCTGCTAGCTTTGGGACTAACAAAATCATTTCCTGATCAGCCAGTCCCTTCTACATTCTATTCGAATAAAGAAGAAACTTGAACTGGGTATTAGAGGGTGAAAATCTTCCATCCAAACTTAACACGATCCAACCAGTTAATGCATGCATGTATCTCTCAAATGCAGCAAGACATTTCCTCTTCAAAATTCTTGTGTCATCCAGAACAAAATATATAACTTCTTTTACCTGAGATAAGTAATAATTTGGTGCATCGATTGTTAATCCTACAAAAAGCCATGCTGTTTCTCAGTCCTTTTTTCCCCTTTTTTGAGAGTAAGCGGCCATGTTCGTTTTTGACACTAACAGAGCAAGCGTCTCTCTGATTAGTTCAACTGCCTGTCAATCACGCCCCTTAAATTGAGGAGACAGGATCCAATGTTATTGTAAAGTTTTGTGAAAGCACGCGGTTCTGGCTGGTCAGGTAAACAAAATCACAATTTGGATTAACCATTCAAAAATATGCCAGATGCCCCTCATTTTACCAATAAGACAATTGCAGCTTAACAAGGCTAAATTGTAAAATGACAGACTACACTGGAGACAGCCTCTTGCATGAGCATACGTGTAGTGTTTCAAATAGCCTTTTCCGACCTGACACGCGGCTGAAAGCATTCGACAATCAGGGAGCATTACGTATTTGGAGAGGCTGCACTCTGGCTAAGTGGCTCTTATTTCAGTGGAGTGTCACACTGCTATGATATTCATAATCATTCACGCTGCTGTTGACACATGATTCTAACACTACTCCATAGACACAAACTTCTCCTGCAGTACACTTGTCAAAGGTTTGGTCTAGAGAGAGCAAGACTACTTCATCAGCATAACTTTGAGTGGTACTAACAAAAACAGTCTGTGCATCGATATATTAATGACATGCTTGTTTATGTGTTTTTATTGTTCATGTAAAAAAAAATATTTTGTTGATCTCTGTCTAGCATGAGTCTGAACTGGTCACTTTGAATAATTTTAAATATTTTAAAATATTTAAAAAATAGTCTGCAAATCAATTCTGCACAATTTGGTGAACTGGTAACCCCAAATACAACCTCTGTGTATATGCCATTTTCAGAACTATAATATTTCTATTATTAAGAAAATATGAACCATGTTTCCAGTTCATTGAAAGGCATTATTCTGGGTAGGGTTAGGATGAATCATAATTAAAAGAGAAAAGTAGAATGGCAAAAGTAAACATCATATAATTACCATATTTACACTTAAGGTAACATGTTTTGCCAGTCCTTTCACAACATAACTGTAAAATGCTACCTGCTTTTCTAATGTATTTAGAAAAGCATTTTGGACAGCCATTAAATGCAACAACATAAGGAAAATGGATGGTCTAACTTACAGTATATAAGAACACAACCACAAGTTTACAAAAGTTCAAATGCAAATAAAAAAAAACAGCTGCCCACAGATCAAGCTCTAGTATAGCCGTAGCATTTGGAAAGACTGAATTCAAATGTCTTGAGGGACTATGATCTCCAAAACCGCACCAATGGGAGCACAGCCAACTGCCGATGCTGATAATAAAGTAATTTAAATTCATATAACAGATACATTTCCTCCAACAATATAAGGATTATGTTTATAGTTATCATTCAGAGGCGCACGCTTTAACTTCATTCTGCCCAGCCTTAAGAACATGCTCAACTGAGGCAGGGATCATTTCATGATTTTATATAAATATATATTATTCTCCTATTCATAATGTCTGAAGGCCTATGAACTTAATGAAAAAGTGAAATAGCTGTAACAGTTTGTTTTCTGGCATGTTTTCTGGTATGTTTTCTGGTATGTTTTCTGTCTTCCCCTTTAATTAAGATTTTCTGGAGGTTTGGGCCTTATGTACTGAATGGCAATCAGTCTATCAGTTCATGCCAATAATACAATAAATTTGTTGTATATGAGAATAATGGTACCTGGGCCTTGCTGCTGCACTGTGTCAGACAGATCTTGCTGGTGAAAGACGATTAAAGTTCCCGCAGTGAAGAGCAGGAGGAACCAGAGAGACCGCAGCCACCTCCGTCTCCATGCAAAAAGAGACCCCAGCACCATCCTCCACTTCATCCACAGCATGGTCGTCCACAAGAGAAGAAAGAGCGCTAGGCACCTGGAGATGGAAATAAATATGTTAAGTTTAATGGATGGAACTCAAAGGTGTCTGTAGGGAGAACATGAAGTCATTGGTCTACATCATGTGGTGGCAATCTAGGAAGTGCTCCTCCAAATTTGAAGACCTGATTCAAAGTCTGAATGCCTGATTGAAGTCATATCGTTTGAATCTTTATATACAATATTTCACTCCTCAATGCCAGAAAAGGTTCTTTGAATGTTGCATGTTGAGCATGTTGCAATAGAGTTTGGGGCAACTGTTCTTGTTTAGCAAAATTAACTTGGTCTTTACAGTGAACATAGCATACACATTACATCCAGATTATAGTTTGCATTGCAAATATAGCCCCAGAACCACAGAAAAAATGTATATTTTATTTTTAAATGAGCGTGGAATGCTAGAAATGTCTTTCCTTCATCTTAAAAGGCAAATGGTGCAATCCTGTGCAACTCAGAGTGCAGGATTGATCCCGCCTCCAGGTCTGAGGTCGAAAAGTGATCAACCACAAGTTTCAAGGGCAAAGGCATCCATTACTGTATCATTAAGATGGCACAACCTGAACCATGTCTAATGACACTTCACAAAGTGCATGTGAGAACAGTGAATCACCTCTTATGCCATGCAAATCAGTGCCACAGGATCATTCCCTAACTGTTCTCCTATTCCCAAATATCCTTGTGCCTCTGCCTCACACAGGAGCTGTACCCTGTAGTGTCACAGCAACAACAAGAGGAAAGACACCACAGACTCAGTACTGCTCTGCACACTCGGATTTAATGGAACAACCAGACAGCATTCCATTAATGTGTAACAACTCTGGGCTCTGATTTAACATGTTTTGCCACTTGAAATTAGTACCGCTGGCAACTTAATGTTGCAATGGAGGTCAGCTGTATGGTTAATTTGAGGGTCCCTGGCCTCCATCAGCTTCAAGAAAGTTCTCTTATTTACACATGATCATCTATGGTATAAATATTTTGGTGAAATTAATACACTTTTTAAACTCATTTACATGACTGTACTGATTTACTGAGTCACACTTTGTTAGACCAGTACAAGAGCCGCACATAGCCTATTTGTAAACATGCTGTCTTACTCTCTAATGAGACTTCTATTCTATAAAAAAAGAACCAAAAATGAAAATGTCTGGTTTATAGATCAGCCAACTATCCCCCTACAACATGCAAACTACTGTATATTGTTCTTCTCTATCTCCATGCATGTTCTTCTTAAACATCTGAAACTCAATCATTTGTGTTATAATCCACTTGTAAATTCAATCAAAATTGCCAAGTTGGGTCGCTAGGCAACAAGGGTGGCACCCAGATAAACAGCTGGTAAAGCTATGGCTTTGTTTAAAACTCACTGAAGCGTTTATCTCTCAGTCTGTGTTCTTCAGACTTTGAAAACATTTACTACGCAGCACATCTGCCCTTTATATCAATAATGATATATAGGAGATAACAGAAATACAGGATTTATCCCATTTGTGTGTAGGAAAGCAAGACTGTTTTATTGAGTCCTATGTCTCCACACTCACACTAAAAGTCCCCAGAGACACAGAGCAGCACACTGCTACAATAGTCAGTGGACAGCCATTCTGCCAAGTGCCACGCAGGGTTCTGATTATTACTGTAAATCATTCTACTGCCAAAGGATTTATTTTCAAACTATAAGAGTAGAAAGAGGGACAATACTGAATTAGCTGAAGCGGTCAAAAAGTTATAAAATAAGTTATTAAATGTAAAAAGAATAAAAACTTGTGTCACTCTTGCACCCACAAAATATTGAGACATTCTTTTTTGTCAACCTTGCTCACCTCTAAGTATAGATGGTCACTTATAACAGTCTGAGTTTATTTTATATTCAAATGAGATGCTTACTCAGGCAGTACTAAACTGCCCTTCTCCCAGAGGCATCCACAGCTGTGGCAAGAATAGATGCTATGAAGCATAAATTATGTGCATCAATGAATATATTGTCACTGGATCTGTGTGTAGCAGTGCGCGCCTGCTGCCTTCTGCCACCAGGTGGCGCCTGGGCTTATAAAAGGGCACTCCCCGTAGCGTCTCGTTCTCTGACCTCGGCGCACTTCCGGGATAGGGCTCCGCCTTGTCGCGCACAGGTAAACAACCGCTGTTCTCTAATTACAATTACAATTTTATAATTTAATGTGTGGCTTTATTGTAGTGCCACCGCTCCTAGAGTCTCGACGTGCCTGATCGAAGTTATGGCTCGTGAGTAAAGCTCCTGCATGTATTTGCTGTTGATCGCCACAAGCGCCACTGTTAGCCGCTGTCCACGGTTGGGTCGGTGTTGCTGTCAGATGCCCCGGCCGCTCGGCGTCAAGCCTCGTGGATGTAGAAGCGTGTGTTTTGTGGTACGTTGGCTGGTCATTGGTTTAGGTTCATGTATGGGGCTACCACCAAGTGAATGATAAAATATAATGTTCATTTTAGGGTCCAGGGTGGTCTTCGGCATGTCATCTGGTGGAGCGGTGGCCCTGTGAACGAGCTGCTGCTTTGTTTTACTGTGTTTTTAATTTTAAGGACAAAATCACCGTACAGCTGCTTTTGGTGACTGTGTTATCGGCAGTTATGTGAACAGTGAATAGTCTACTCTTAAAGTTAATCTAACAAATGAATTATGGCAATAATAAATAATTTCATGTTTTGTAAGTCACTTGTCTCTGTCAATTGACGAACCTGTGAGCCTTTTAGTTTAGTAAATTTAGTTTTAGTTCTGGGCTACGCCCAGTGGCGTTGTTGGTTTTATGTTGATTATCTTACTTTGGGGTGCTCCTCACACCCCTCCCGGATGCCCCGCTCGCCACATGTGTATTTAAATACTGTATATGCACAATTACTTCACAATTAGAAGTTAGCTTAAGTATATAAAAACACAACAAGGAAAAACAAACATTAGCACGAACTACACAGCTTTAAGGGAGATTGGTTCTGTCATTAACATGCCCACGGAGAGGTTTTTTACCTTCAGTATGGCACAAGCACACAACACAGAACCCAATAGGCTGGAAAAAAGAATATGTCCTACAAATTTATCTGATCTTGCATAGATTTAAACACTTATATCTGGTTATTCATCTTATTTTCAGATTTATTATCTACTTACTAGTTCTGAGACTGCTTAATTCTAGTCTAGAGGTAGTTTATTTTAAGATAACATATTAAGTAAAATTATCTTGCTGCATGGACAGATAATTTCACTACTTTTAAGTCATTTTCTGATAGGTTTAAGTGTTCTTATCTTAATTTTAGCCAAGCTTTTTTGCGGTGTGTAACTTCTGTAACTCACAATAGGCTGAGCCGTGCTCTAGCACAATTATGGGGTTTTCTGTAGCCACTCGCACTCACACTTGCAATCAAACCGACCCACAGCCTAGTGACATCATCATATAAGCACTGTTTATATATATGTCGCACTAAGGCTTTAGCAGAGCAAATAACTCCTGGGGCATGAAATAGCTCTGATCTAGTGAGGAAGATTTTGAATTTCCCTACACACTTGTTTTAGGATTGGATAGATATACAATATAACTTAAGGTGGAAGATAAGGCTGTCTTTTTACCAAAAAGGTTGTTTCAGAGATAGGAAGCTGCCCTGACAAGCAGCACTGTGCTCAGTGAAAGAGGACAACCTTCTCTTGCAGGTGCATGGGAAGGGGAATTAGTCACTGATGTAATTCCCAGGCTAGGAAATCAGAAAAGTACTCATTACTAATATGAGGTTTCCTACAGGGTCAAGGAGGGCAGAGGACTGTGGGTAATTAAATGTGCTAAATGAAACACTAATTGAATGAGCAACCAACTGCCTTTGGTTCTTGTCTGTCTAATCATACAACAGACCAAATCACCAAAAATGGATTAGTTTTCTTTCAGGCAGGGTTGTGTAATTACAGAGGTGAAAGTACTGATCACTGAACAATGGTTTAGTATGCAGTAGCTTAAATATCTTGTGTATGCTAACAGTGTATGAAGTAAAATATTATCAACATTGAAGTTGTTATTGTTACGATCCATGACTCTCAGAGCTGCAACATATAGACTTATGTGAGAAAAGGTCCACGTCCTGGTGAGAAGAAAAGTGCAACTTTTGTAAGTGACAGAGCTCAACCGGTGCCCTGCCCATATTAGCTTCAGGGGGCGCTGCTGAGGCAAAATGGATGCACTCTTGTTTTTTTTTCATTTCATTTTTTTTCAGTGGCTAAACACAGTAAAGTTGTTTTGTTTATTTTACAAAAATCATATGGATAGATCGAGGTGACCAAGACCCCAGGAAATATAGATACATGTTAAACAATTTTATATTAAACATGTATCTATATTTCCAGGGGTCTCAGTCACCTGTTGATATGCTTGACTTTACATGCATTTACATACAGAAATATTGTCAACTGCACATTAATCTGAAGGACACAGCGACAGGTGGAGCGGGAATTGCTCATAAAAAATGTATAAGATGTAAATTGAGGGTGGATAGCTGTTCACTGAGGCTGCTTAAATCTGGGACAATAGAACCAATTCCAGAAGATGAGGTTATAAAAAAATGTAAGCAGGGGGAATGAGATTTGAGAGTCGTTTTGAGCAATGCATTTTGATATCACCTTAATATAATTTTAACTACTGCACATGGAAACACACATTTAACATAACAGTGTCTGCATGAAGGCTCTCATATTGTCAGACACTTGTCAGACACAATGATTTTTTTAACAATAATATTTTCTCAGAATGATGCAGAACACCAGTAAGGGTGATCCAAGGATGCTGTAAAAATAATCTTGTTTACATTTTACCACAAAATACCCTTTTTGTAATGCATAGTCGGGGTGTTTGGTTGCTTCATAGTGAGAGGAAGCAAAGCAGAAGGTGTGAGCCACCCACAATGACACATACAGGATTATCCAGCTCATATTTAATACAAGCACATTGAGTTCATTTGAA